GAGAAAAAAGTCAGAATTGTGAGATAAAAGTCAGAATTGTGAGAAAAAAGTCAGAATTGTGAGAAAAAAGTCAAAATTCTGAGATAAAAGTCAGAATTCTGAGATAAAAGTCAGAATTCTGAGATAAAAGTCAGAATTGTGAGAAAAAAGTCAGAATTGTGAGAAAATAGTCAGAATTCTGAGATAAAAGTCAGAATTGTGAGATAAAAGTCAGAATTGTGAGAAAAAAGTCAGAATTCTGAGAAAAAAGTCAGAATTCTGAGAAAAAAGTCAGAATTCTTACTTTTTTCCCATATTTAACTGAAATAAAATTTTAATATCTGTTTTTTTTTCAGTGGCCCTAATCCTCTTCCGTACGAAACAGATCCTTCCATGACGACTGCGATATTCTGCTATAACATGTTCAGTGAAGAATAAAATAACAGCCATCTTTCATAAACATAACACATCTCAATTTTCACTATTAGTAGGTTGGAATTGAGGCAGAATGAACTTGATTGTAATATTTTAAGCACGCTAAATTCATTAAATCATCATGAGCGTATTAGATCCGTTGATTATTCCTTGCTGACCGGACTTCTCCTTGAATTCTTCTTTCATCAGAAGTTAATTATAATCAGATTTTGAACATCATACAAAACCATTGCGTAGAGCAATAAGCTTTATTACCCGTTTATTTCTGCCAGATTGATAAAGAGCTAGTTCTGCATTTCTTTTAATCACCGTTATGTCTTTACCCTGACAATTAAGCAAAGTATATTAAGAAGTGCCTTTGTGTGAAAGAGATTTTATTAATAAAAAACAGTAAATAATTCAATCAAGTCTTTATATAGAGTATGCACAATTCTTATTACAAGTTACAAGCATTGATCAAATGGTTAAAACAGGAATGTTCTCTACCGCAGTCATTTGTTTCAAACTCATAAAGTAAAACAGAAATGCAAAAACAAACTATTCGACAAAAGGAGGCAAAGAAAACAGAACATTAAGCTTTAATTCACAAATATTTTCACACAGCTTTAAAATATAAACAGATGGAAACAGACATATTCTTCACAACAACACAGTAATGGACGGATTAAATTGGAGTGCAGACAAATGTGAAATTAAGAGTTTTAGTTTTAGACGTGAAGACCGTAATGCTGATTGTGGAGGACCGTTTTGTTTCTGCCTCAGCCCAGTTGGAGCAGTTTGAGCAGAGAGGGACTGAAAACCACACAAACAGGGAGAAAAGCATAAGAACTATTTTAAAAAGCCTCAGGAATAAACAGGATAGGGGTGAATAAGCAATGTTTGCAAATGTCTGACAAAAGGGAGTTCCCTCTGCACTTTTTCCACATGTCTCGCATATAAATGGTTTCTCACCTGTATGGGTTCTGCCTGCGTTATTTAACCTGGATGAAGAAAATAGGAGCAAAAAAGTCAGCTGTGTGAAATGCTGCCTGTAGCCCTTAAATTCTTCAATTCTGCTGCAATTAACTCCAACGTGTGCTTCGTTTTGCAATGTTTTATGGAAACAAAAGCTCAGCCGCTAAAATGAAACATGCAGAGATTCATAATCACAATAATCAGAGGGACAAGATCTGAGCAAGTTAGCAGACTGAAAAAGAAGCTTTAAATCCCACCTTGTTTATCTATTTTAGATATTACATACAATGGATCTGTTTCGTTCTGCTATATTTAGGATTTTTTTATTCATTTATGCATTTTTTTTGGCTTAGAAAACATGTAAATTGTTCATCCGGGTCAATTTGCATGTTTTCTAAGCCAAAAAAGAGGCTTTGTTTTCTGGTCCACTCTATAAAGCCTGGAGCTCAACATTATTTCTGACATTTTGAATTGAAAAAGCTTCCTGGATGGGAGACGAAACGTCTTCAAACTTGGAAACAAAGTCCAGGGTATTGTTGTTTTTTTGGGGAAAACTACCATAGTTGATTAACTTGGGGTTTATTTTGCCAATAACATTTTTGTTGCTTTAAGACGACGTCATTTGGGCTGATATTCACAGAAAAATATCAATATCAAACAGAAACAAAAAAAACAACCAAATAACCAAAACTAATACTTCAAAACACGTTCACTAAGAGGAATATTAAAAGTGATTGAGTGACTTTTCATTGCCTCATATTTTTGCATAGAGCGAAGTACCAGAAATTGTTTAAACTTTTAAAATTTTGAATCTGAGCCTTAAAAATCAAAATCCAGGTTTATATTTGGTGGGACTGTGAGGTACGCGTGGGAAACCAGTTATTTTTAGCCGCCATGCCCCTCAACACAGCCTGATTTTCCAGATTGCACTGCTATGAAAGGTTTTAATTACACAGACAGTTCCACACAGAAATACACAGTGAATGAGTGAGAGCTCCTAGTGGTGATTCATATTTACATAAAGGTTTTTCACATGTGTGGATTATGATGTAAACTTCTACATTATCAATCCGAACCACACATTTACCATGTCTTACAAGGAAGTGGAGTCTAACCTGTAGGTTTTACCATGAAATTTAAATGAATAGACTGAACAAACCTTTTTCCACATGTAATACATATAAAAGGTTTCTCTCCAGTGAGGATCTGATATGAGCAATTAAACTACTATTTTGTGAAAACTATTTTCCACGTCTTGAACGTAAAAGGTTTCCCTCCAGTGTGGGTTCTTAAATGAGTATTTAAATGACCATTTCCAGGAAAACATTTCCCACAAGTCTTGCATGTAAAAGGTCTCTCAACAGTGTGGGCTCTGATGGGAAAATTTAAATTCCTAATTTGAGAAGAACATTTTGTCTTGCATGTTAAAGGTTTCTCACTAGTGTGGGTTTTAAAAATTAAAATGACTAGACTGCATAAAACTTTTTCCACATGTGCTGCTTATACAGGGTTTCTCTCCAGTGTGGGTTCTTAGATGAGTATTTAAACTGCTATTTTGAGAGAAACTTTTCCCACATGTCTTACACGTAAAAGGTTTCTCTCCGGTGTGGGTTCTTAAATGAGTGTTTAAATTACCATTTCGAGAAAAACATTTCCCACAAGTCTTACATGTAAAAGGTCTCTCGCCAGTGTGGGTTCTAATGTGAATATTTAAATTTCTTCTCCTAGAGAAACTTCTTCCACATGTCTGACATGAAAATGGTTTCTCACCAGTGTGGGTTCTTGTGTGACTATTTAGACTACTTGTATGTGAAAAGCTTTTTCCACATGTCTTGCATAAAAAAGGTTTTTCACCAGTGTGGGTTCTGATGTGATCACTTAAACGACTTTTTTTAGAAAAACTTTTCCCACAAGTCTTGCATGGAAAAGGTTTTACACCACTGTGGGTTTTGATGTGAACATTTAAACTACTACTCTGAGAAAAATTCTTCCCACACATCTCGCATGTAAAAGGTTTCTCACCAGTGTGGGTTCTGATGTGGTTATGTAAATGCCTCATCTGAGAGAAACTTTTTTTACATGTCTTACACGGAAAAACTTTCCCACACTTGTGCTTTTTGAGGTGAAGATTAAAATTGGCAATTTGAGAGAAACTCTTCCCACATATCTTGCATTTATAAGGTTTATCACCACTGTGGGTTTCAATGTGAACATTTAAGTGACTTATCCGAGAAAAACGTTTCCCACATTTCTCACATGTAAAAGGTTTCTCACCAGTGTGGGTTTTGATGTGAACATTTAAACAACTTCTCACAGCAAAACTTTTTCCACATGTCTCGCATATAAATGGTTTCTCACCTGTATGGGTTCTGATGTGAACGTTTAGACCACCTGTATGACAAAAACCTTTTCCACATATCTTGCATGTGAAAGGTTTCTCACCAGTGTGGGTTCTGATGTGAACATTTAAATGACTTATCTGAGAGAAACTTTTCCCGCACATCTTGCATGTAAAAGGTTTCTCACCGGTGTGCGTTCTGTTGTGAACATTTAATTCACTACTACAAACAAAACCTTTTCCACATGTTTTGCATGTGAAAGGTTTTTCACCAGTGTGGGTTCTGATGTGAGCGTGTAAATGACTATTCTGAGAAAAACATTTTCCACATGTCTCGCATGCAAAAGGTTTCTCACCTGTGTGGGTTCTGTTGTGAACATTTAAATCATTAATACAAGGGAAACCTTTCCCACATGTTTTGCATATAAAAGGTTTCTTACCAGTGTGGGTTTTGATGTGAACATTTAAACTACTTCTCCGAAAAAAACCTTTTCCACACGTCTTGCATGGAAAAGGTTTCTCCCCAGTGTGGGCTCTGTAATGTTGTTTCAAGTTATATTTATTCTTATAAAATTTTCCACAAATATCACATTTGAAAGAAGTATTGTTTCGTTCAGTTTGAGAGTTATTCTCTGACAGAGTGGAGCATCTTCCTTGCTGATCTTGTGTCTCAACTAAAGGAGAGATATGAAAGGAATGCTGCTGAATTCCTGGTTCTGTTTCAATCAAATCCACTTCCTGATGGCTAAAAGTCTCCATAAAAGTGAAGGATTGCTTGTGGTGAAGCTGCTCTTCCTCCTGACTGCAATGCAGATCCTTCTGGTCCTCTCTATGTGGTAAATATTCAGTCTGCTGTAAAGAATCTGGTTCCTCCTTTAGTTTAAATGGTGGAGATGCTTGTTCATCCTCTTCTTTAATCCATGGAGTTCCTGTTTCATGATGTTTTTCAATCAGTGGCAACTCTGGTTCCTCCTGTTCCTCTTTAGCACATGTTACCTGAAGTTCCTCATTTTCTTCTTTAATAATTCGGGGCTCTGGCTCTTCATCTTTAACCCATGGAGGTTCTTGTTCATCCTGTTTTTCACTCAGTTCCATCTCTAACTCCTTATGCTCCTCTTTAACCCATGTGGCCTGGGGTTCCTCATTTTCTTCTTTAATAAGCAGGGGCTCTGGGTGTTCATCTTTAATCCACGAAGGTCCCGGTTCGCCCAGTTTAGCTGGAGCAGATCGATTATCTGGTTCCATCTGATCTTCAGTGTATTGAGGCATGACTTCCGTCGGGTCAGAACTGGACCTCCTTCCTTGGTAACAGAGCTGTCGGATGGTCAAAGTTTCTTCTTCATTTGAGACATGTGAGTCTTTGAGTTCTGTAAACGAGAAAAATAGATCACGATTATAATTCAATTAACATCATTCCCATCCCAGTCTCAGAGCTCTGGCTGAGAAATTATAGTTATAATTTAATTTCAATTTCATTAAAAATGATTTAAATGTAATGAAACGTGCAAACATTAGATGTGGAGTGGTGTTCTAGTGTTAGGGCAGAGAGCTTGGAATCCTGAGGTTCTGACTTCGACCCCACTCCCCACAGACTGCCACTCTGGGTCCCTGAGTAAGACCCTTAAACCCACACTGCTCCCCAGGCGCCGCACAATGGCAGCCCACTGCTCCCCAAGGGGATGGGTTAAATGCAGAGGTAACTTTCTCTAATGTGTTCAATTATTATTTGTAAATGGCACTAAATGTTATTAGAACTGGGTAAATTAACAAGTGAGCAAAGAGCTTTATTGGCATGTGTTAGAAAGAAAATAAATGTTTAAAACAGTCTAGGGTGACTGAGTGAGAGAATTTGGAGGATAGATTTTTAATATACATTAATTCCACTTTCCTGGGTACCACTATGGATCCTGGTCTAACCTGGGCCTTAGTTTGGGAAATGCTAAGCAGCAGAAAGATATGTTTTAGCATAACTGTCTCAAGCTCAAAAGGAAACGGGAGGAAGATTTAGCTAAAAACATCATGGCCAAAAGCTATCTACGATGCGCAGGTGCAGCATGAAGAGGAAATAAAGTTTTTTTTAAACTGCTTACTTTGTTGCCAGTTCTTCCCTGGGAGGTTTTCCATCCTAAAAAATATCTTTTTTATTTAACTCCAAAATTAAGAGAGGAATAAAAAACAAAAAAGGAGAGGGCAAGAGAGAGAAAACAACAACCAGGAAGACCAAAAGGTGGAAAATGGAAACCACATATTAATCTGAGGTTTGATTAGCAGAACATAAGACTTTTAGTCATTACGTAATAATTAGTTTTGCACCAATACAGATACCAGTATCGGGCGGGGCCCTGATCAAGCAATAAAATAGTGGTATTGGTATCGGCGAGTACCAACAAATAGGCCACCAATACCATTTTGAGAACCAAAAGTTTCTTCAACTATTTTCACCCATTCCAGGTAGGCAATAAAAAGTTCTACTGGATTCACTTTGTTTTAGTCTTTTTCCTGCTTCACAAAGGTAGGCAGCAGCTTGACATGAAGCCATGATGGCAATTATTTTACATCTAAGTATTATGCAGTTCTTCATATATACACACACATCAATTTCAAACAGACGGTATCAGCCGATACTGCACAGCCAGGTATCGGTATCTGGGCCAAAAAATGGCATTGGTGCAATACTACTAATAATTCCTAGCCTGGGTGCCATTCTGAACTTAGTCCCGCCCACAAGGTTTGAGGTCGGGAAGTTCGGTCTGGCATTGCTCAGTAGTAGCGTGAGTATGCTAGCACAATATCTGGCGGGCCAATCAAACTGTCAGGGCGGGCTTTATACGATGATGGACAGATGATCAACAATAACGTAATCAACCACGTGACCAAAGCGCGCTTGGGTGACAACAACAATGGCTGCCGCTGGAGAGTTGAGGTGAGTAGATTCTGCTATTAGGTCTGTTCTAGAAGATATCGACAGCAAATTAATTTTAAAAGAGGAACAGAGAAACGCGATCAAGTCTCATCTTCTTATTCTAGGCGTGAAACTGCACGCTTTGAGTTTTGTGGACAACAACTATGCGTCGCTTAACATACGTCACGCACTCCGTTGCTCTTATTGGTTGTAGGTCTATCCAATTGAGTGCAGAGGCATTTTTTTTCCTGGTTCGTTCGAAACACGCCCCATAATCACAGCTCTATGGAGCAGCATCAGACTCATTCTGACTAGAATTGAGTAGGACTACGTCAGGCTAAATAATGCCCGCCAGAATGTATAAATTTCCCAATTCTCAAGCGTATAAGGAGGAAATTTATTTATTATTCAGAAAATAGAGATGACTTAAATGGAGACCAGATCTTACCCTTTGTTTTTTTAAATCGGTAAATGGGGACCTTTTTGTACAGAATAAAAATAGCATTTATATTGGCAGCAGACAACTCTAAATGTATATTTGTGAAAAAGACACTTGAATCAATGTGTAAATATGATCAAATAAAATGTTGATAAAGCATTTTCAAACTCAATTTAACTTTATAGAGTCGATGTTAATAGACAACAACATTGTGATGATGGTCACTATTCATGCAGAATGCAGTCACTGTGTGAAATGGCCCAGGTTCTATAAAACAAGGTTGTAACTTAGAAAAAATAGATTAAAAAATAGGCTCTACTGGTGTAGAGCTCAGGGTCAAGTCAGGGATGTTTAGTATTATCTAGTGCTGCAACTAACAATTATTTTGCAAATCGATTAATCTATCGATTATTTTTTTCGAATAATTGATTGATAATTGGATAGCCAAGGATTCCATAAAGGAGATTTTTACTGGGGCGTGCAGGTTGGCGCAGTAGTTAGCGCGCACAACCCATATACGGAGGCCAAAAGGCCAATGTATGCTTCTGACGCAAAGCCTCTGCAACTGTCAAATCTGTCTCTGTGTGTGACCACGCCCCCCGCGCAGAGGTTCTGCAACCGTCGTCGCACACCTTAAAAAAATCCTGACTACACGTCGGACGGTTGCAAACCCGCGCAGACATCAAGCGGAAGTGCGCAGACAGAAAGCAGCTGTGATTGGTCCTTGGGTTGCCTTTGAGGCTGTCTGTGTGGTCGTCCTTCTCGATTCAGTGCCGGGGCGCGCCATTTTTAAAAACCGAGGAACAATGGACGGCTATGGCAAAAGGTTAAGGGAGGAGGTTCGGAAGTACAACCACTTGTACGATGCCTAATAGACTATCCGCCGAAGTTCTTGTGAGTTCTGGAATAGGCTCCCCCTTGCACTATAGCGGGAAACTGCCTAGAAATTGGAGACCGACGGTGCAGAAGAATACCAGCAAAACTGGTTAACAACCAGACCCAAGCGACATTTGATGTGTGCGTCCGCAGAAGTCTAATCCGCCCTTTAGTCCTCAACGCGGGCGACCCGGGTTTGAATCCGACCTGTGGTCGTTTGCCGCATGTCTCTCCCTCTCTCTTATTCCCCCTTTCCTGTCAGCCTACTGTAGAAAAAAACAAGCCACTAGTGCCATAAAGACTCAAAAAAATGACGAAAATGTTTATTTTTATCTTAAATGCAAAAATTGTTTTTTTAGTTTTTACAATCTTGTTATAATTCCCACTCTAAGTGGGTCGCTCTGTCAGCTGAAGGCATGTTTTAGAGCCTCAATACTCCAATTAACGATTAATCGATTACTAAATTAGTCAACAATAATTTTAATAACCGATTTATCAGATTAATTGTTTCAGCCCTAGTATTGGTCAGATAGAATCACTCCAAATAAACAAAATGAACAAAAATAGATTTTTAAATTATTTGAAATTAGCTTATTTTATTGCTTTTGAAGTTGAACAACCTCTCAATATGTAACCTAATGTAGAAATCAGGAGAGGCTTTATTTTTAAAGCTCCACATCCGGATTATAATCGTTTAGAAGCATCTATGGGTTCCCTACTGTCAGCCTGAAGCAAAATCAGTAACTGGAAACAGTACAGTAGGTTTCTTACAAAAACGGACAGCAAATTAGATTAAAGCTAATAATTTTTCAAATTTTAAGAAGCTTTAATTTTTTAATTTCACACCAGATCTTGATATTTGCTGAGAAGATTCAAGGGGTGCCATACTGTCACCCTGAAGTGAAATCAGTAACTGGAAACAGAGTTTTTAGGTAAAATAAAGCTGCATTCTGGTATAAAAGTGCACAAATTAACCATGTAATATAATAGAAAAAAAAAACATTATAATTCTCATATATCCATATCCACAGAAACATAAGAAATTGGCTACTTTTTAGACCAAAGGGGGGTAAATTTAAATAATTATTGTTAATGAAGGTAAAACTTGTGGGTTTTATTTTGAAAAGCCAGCGTTGGTACCGTATTCCATAGTGTATGCGCGACCCATAAAAAGCCAGTGATGGCTTGACGGTCGTGGAGGCTGCCCGCCGCAGTGCATCGAGTCGAAGCGAGTCAACAGAGAGCAGCTGCCCTAAAACCAGTCACTCTGTAGCGGCCCAAACATGAGGCTGCTGCCCCCTAAACCCGAAAGAACCAAACAATAACCCATCTTTTTAGTAGCTTCCTACCGTTTCCCGGGTGTTTTATCGGAGGCTGCCAGCAGTTTTCCAGCAGCCTGATGTTTTTTTCAGCTTCTGTGATGAGCTCATCAGCAGCTCTTGTTTGCAGAAATGTGGTAAAAATGTTCAGCTCCTGTCAGATGATCCAAATGATCAAGTCTTGTCTTGTTGTTGCGTTTAATGGCGGTTGGCAAACATCTTTTCGGTGCACATTACCGCCACCAACTGGTGAGGAGTGTGGATCAGAATGGCCCTATTCAAAAAGAAACATATTTATTTACCTATATCTATAATATTACTTTACAAATACTAAATCCTCCTAATTATTACTATTATTATTAAATATTTAAATAAATATTGACTTTTTTTAACTTTTTCATCAGAATATCTATCAAATCAAATCAAACTTTCTCCTTATTTACGTCTCAAACCAAATTCCTTCTTTCTTCTTACAAAACATCACTACATGTTCTGCTGTGTTGTCTAGTCCACGATATTCACATTTGCCTGACATGTTTCCCTATTTTGAATAATGTATTATTTAATCCTTTATGTCCAAATCTAAGTCTTAAAATAACCGTTTCCTCATTTCTCAGACTTTCCGTTATAAAACCATCTTCCTCTCCTTTCTTCTTCCCATTGTTTTTGCCACCTTCCCTTCATCCTTTGTTTAATGATACTTTTAACTTCTTACTTAGAATGGTTTTATTTTGTGATGTTTCCTTAGCAATCTTATCTGCAATTTTATTTCCATTAATCCCTATATATGCTGGAACCCAAATAAATATAACACTAATACCCATCATTTGAACTTGATATAAAACTTTATTATTTCAATTAAAATGTCTGATCTACTTTCCGAAAAATGATTTTATATGCTGATTAAAGCTGAACTCCAATCTGAATCTAATTGATCTTAATGGTCTCACTTCCTCTATCCATTGTAATGCTAATAATATTGCTAATAATTCTCCTGTATATACTGATAATTCATTGTTTATTCTCCCATTTACTTTGATATTGAAATCTGGAACATAAAATGTAATTCCTAGCCTATTACTCACACTCTTAGATGCATCTGTATATATTTGAATATAACCATAATTAATATTAACATATTCCTGTATCAGTTTATGATTAATATTGCCTTCCTTTTTATTTTCTAACCTTGTCAATTCCACTGTAGTTTCAGGTATGATGCAGGGAGGGACGGTACGGTGTATGGAAGCAAATCGTTACCATATTTCAAATGAAAAAGCGTTTCCAGAAATGCTTTTTCATTTTAAGAATGTGGCTGCATTGTTTGACTCATAAATTAAATTAGTAATCAATCATCCTATTTGCATTTTCTTCTTTAAAGGAATAGTACACCCAAAACATGATTAGCCTTCATTTTCTGCTCACCCCCATGCTGAACAACACTCTGGAGTACTTTTTTGATATCTCAAATGCATCTGGAGATCTGGGAGGCTTCTTGCTGTCTGCTGACATTCAAATAATGGAGGTCTATGGCGCCCGAGGCAGAAAGGTCCATAAAAGTCCACAAAAAACGTGTCAATATTCCTCCATACTGCTCGTCCAATGTATTCCAAGTGTCCTGAGTGGGTAGCGTCCATAATTTACTCGAAACGAAGTCATTTAGAATGTTTTTAGAGCATAAACAGTAGTGTATAGGATTTCCTAAAAGCGCGTTCACGAGTCTACGGAAACCGCGGCAGACCAAACCAGATGAAAGTGCGCATTCAGCTCGGCAAAGAACTCATGCTCTTCCTCAACACTGAAGTCCTCAGACATTTTTCTTTCGTTGTTTCTTTCTTTGCACAGGTAAACAGCACATTTCTTCTTCTACGCTTGCATTATCGGCAGAGCAGACGCTGAATGCGCACTTTCATCTGGTTTGGTCTGCCGCGGTTTCCGTAGACTCGTGAATTCGCAGGCGCGCGCTTTTAGGAAATCCTATACACTACTGTTTATGCTCTAAAAACATTCTAAATGACTTCGTTTTGAGTAAATTATGGACGCTACCCACTCAGGACACTTGGAATACATTGGACGAGCAGTATGGAGGAATATTGACACGTTTTTTGTGGACTTTTATGGACCTTTCTGCCTCGGGCGCCATAGACCTCCATTATTTGAATGTCAGCAGACAGCAAGAAGCCTCCCAGATCTCCAGATGCATTTGAGATATCAAAAAAGTACTCCAGAGTGTTGTTCAGCATGGGGGTGAGTAGAAAATGAAGGCTAATCATGTTTTGGGTGTACTATTCCTTTAAGGTAATTTAAAAAATCAGGACATTTCCTCACTTCCTAAAAAAAACCCGGGACGCCCGGGACAGGACGTGAAATACGGACGTTTGGTCACCCTAGAATATGAAGCTCACTAGGGAGTAAGGGAGTTTTTCCTCTCCACTGTCGCTACAAGCATGCTCCTTAGATAGAAAACTTTGAATCAATTTGCCTGGATGATTTGGTTGAACTGTAAATTGCCTTGAGATGAGGTGTGTTCCAACTGGCGCTATAGAAATAAACTGAACAGAATTGGAAAATCTGAATAACATTTCTAACAATTGACTCCTTTGGCTTCAATAGCCCAGAGTGACATGAGTTCATGGCTTAATGTTTAGATGTCTTCTTATAACTTGAAGCCTATATCATTGTTTTATACCATCAGCTGCAAACATTGAATGCTATATTTAAGGTTTTATTGTGAAAAATGACTATTTTACAGCTCAAATTTCCCTTTAAATGAAGGTCATGTGTCAGAGAAGATCATTGCAATAAAGGCTAGTTTTTCAAATCGATCATTTCATGTCATTTTTTATTATGAAACATAAGTGAAAAACAAAAAAACAGAACAGATTTGGTAGGAAACAGCTGAGATCAGATTTTTAAGCCACATCTCCCACCTTTGTGTGTTGAAGTGAAGCATGGTTCCTCACAGTTGGCGCCTTCTTATCCCACTAATCATCTCTCTAATGGATAATAACTCAAGGGACATTTATTTTTGAGTTACATCGGCTGATTTATGTAGTAAAATAAATTCATAGAAAATTAAATATTGGAAAAATAGATTTTTTTTTTCCCTCATGGTCACGGTGACTATTTCTGACCTAGTGCAGGAGAATCCGATGGCTTTTAAACGTGCATCTGCAACTGAAAAGAATAAAAAGTGCCTTACATGCACTTGGTATCATGCATCCAGACACTGCTGCTGTGTTTCTTTCACCCGACCATCAAAATGCCTTTATAGGGACACTGACGGGACGTCGTCTTGTTCGTCGGCTTTAAACGGACGCTAGTGAACGCCGCACTCTCGCTGTGCAGCTATTGACATGGAAGTTAGATAATTATACATGGAGACAGCGCCACGGATTATAAAGTTGCATCAAGACTGAAAGCTGAACACCTGCTGACGTTTACATGTGGTCCTCATGGTTTAGCAGGCGGGTGTGTCAGTGCTTCTAAATGTTGCGGTGTCATTTGTACATTTATCTCCATGTATTACGTGACATTTATGAAGTTTTTGAGTTCTCTAAATCAGTCTGTGGTCTCGATTCTCCCTTATCTATCTCGCTGGAGGGTAATTCCTCTGTGGTTGTGTGTAAATCAGCCCTGTGGGGTTGAGGATGAGCAGCCTGCGTCATCTGCTGTGTCCCGTTAGCGCACGCTACCGTACCCTCCGATTTGCTGAAACTGAACAGCTTCCCTGGACTGAATGTTCTGTTTGGGGATTGGGACCTTTCCTGGCCAACAGCGGGAGCCGAAGACATCGCCGCTGAGCCAGGCGTCGCCCCCGCCGCCGCTTCTTTTTTGACATCGGGGGATTTTAAGAACTTCAGAAATCCCGGGAGCTTCGCTTCGCCTCCCGTTGGGGACTGAGCCGGTGAGCGCGAGGTGCCGGAGGAGAACTTCCCTTGAAGAGGAATGATCTGTTTGAGCTTCATCACGTTGTTGTTCCCCAGCAGAGAGCTGGGCCGCTTTGGCTTGCTGCCCTGCGTTTTGTCGTGGTGGTGCTGGTGCTGCATGTCCGCCTTGTGGTAGTCGGCGTCATGACGAGCTTCGGCCTGCAGCTCGGCCTGACGGTGCAGCTCCTCTTCCTCCCGCCGCCGCCGGAGCTGCTGCTGGAAGTGATGCTGTGCCTGTAGCTCATGTTTCTGGAAGGAGAGACATTTAGTGGTAGAAAAAAAAACACCATTCAATAGGTTGAATAAAGAAAATCATCAACCAGTAAAGAAGACATTTTTTATGATAATCTGTTACTTTAAACAGAATTTTACACTGAAATAAAATGCGGTGTTTATTAAATAAAAAAAAAAGAAAAAGAAAAAAAAAAGAAAATTTGGTGTTTTTTATGTAGAGAACAACAATCAGTTTGGTATATAGACAATTTCCTGATTCACATATTTAATAAAACTGAACTGAGTGTCATCTCTTTTAGGACCTCAGTTTATTTCTACTTTATAATTATTATATCAGGAGTAACCAATTAAAAATCAGCGGGGTTAAAATAAGGAAAATCATCCACCAGTAAAGGTCCGGAGACATTTTTAATTATAATCTGTTACTTTAAACAGAATTTAACACTGAAATAAAATGAGGTTTTTATGCATCCATGATATACATTGGATTTTTAAATAAAAAATATATATTTAAAAAAATTGAAAAATCTTTCATATTTAAATCTAAAGTGTTTTTTTTAAGTAGAGAACAAGAATCGTTCAGTTTGGTTTATAGACAATTTCCTGATTCCCATATTTTCTCAAACACCTGAACTGATTGTTTGTCATTTTCTTTCTTTTTTCTGTCTTAATGTTGGCAGTGGGCTTTAGGCTGCCCTGCAAGGCTTTAAACCTGGGTTTAAATGGAGACTAAGCCATTCTCAAGCACATATCAAGGAGCTCATTTTGAGCCTGGATCCAGATTTATTGTTGATTCTGTTCATGGTGGAGAATCCTGCTTCACAGCAGCAGGTTGAGCCAAACATCCTCTAAATGTGCAGGGTCATCTTTGAGCACGCCATTTCACTTTTCTTTCACCAGTTCACCGCAGTTCTTCCAGCAGTCCACACTTTCTCTGCTCTCTTTTTCTCATGGTCTTCTCCTTCTTTCCCATCGCCCGGCTTGCCACAGGTTTGCCTGCTGGGTCTAAAAGTAGCAGCAGCAGCAACCCAGACTGACAGCTCATTGGCTCATTTGGA